AGAAGCTGACACACAGGAGARTAGGTAACACAGATCACTGACAGTTGGTGTCCCTGGATGGTAGGATTCTAAGCAACTAATTTTTGTCTTCCTTCCAATACTTTGCCCACCTCCAATGCAGTACTCACAAAAAAGGGTGGACAGAGGGATTTTAACATAAGACTGAAAATCAGAGACTCAATCAATTGATTTCTCACCCATACGATCTCTGTTTGACAATTATGTAGTACCAAATTACAAGGAAGATATTTAGCTCACAAGTTAAAAATCCACAGAGCCAGAATCTTCTTTATCTGAAAATCTTCTGTATGGATAGACCTGTTCTACCTTATTGATTTGACTGAAGCATCATAATCTGTTTTGTATCTGATTATACTAGCTTTGCGTCAAAGAACAATTCTGAAAGCAGRGGGAAGGAGTTAGGGGGATGGGGAGAGATGGTAGGCAGGCAATCTCCATTGTGGCATGAGAATGGAGTTAATAAAGTCACGTTRTTTTCAGTGTATATAGGAAATATAACAGAAATTAGTTCAGAGTTAAAGCTAATAAATAACATTGCCAAGAATAATTTWAAAAGAAAGATAATTAATAAAGCTATTGCTGTTTTCAAAAACATCCCAATTTTAGAGAACAAAGGGAATAAATTTGTAGTAAAATACTTTAAAAATGAGTGGACAACAGACATGAGACTTTATAAGCATCAAAAGAACAGATGAGATTTTATAAGCACCAGCTATAAGATGATTATGGGCTTTGTTGACAGGTTTTTGGCTAAGAGAAATCTGGAAAAATTAACTAAGACCTTTCTCTTAACAACCTTATAGAGAACAAGCAAAGAAAAGATGTCAAAAACATAAACATCTGCATAAGACAGCATGTTATAATGGGCCCTGAACATACAGGGTAAAAATAAACTGGTACAAAAAGAGCAAGAACKCGGGCTGGGGCTGGGGCTCYGTGGCAGAGCGCTTGCCTAGCATGTGAGAGGGACTGGGTTCAATCCTCAGCGCTGCATAAAAAACTTAACAAAGGGATTCTGTCCATCTGCAACTAGAAAAAAAGAAAATTAAAAAAAAAAAAAAGAGCAAGAACTTTTGAAAAAAATCCCTGTTAAAGAACATTTTCTTTGATAAAAAAAGGAAGATACCAAATGGGTTTTAGAATTTGCATTCTTCAGGGACTGGGGTTGTGGCTCAGTGGTAGAGTGCTTGCCTAGCACTGGGTTTGATCCCCAGCACCATATAAAAAAACACGAAATAAACAAAATACAGATATGTTTGCCTAGATTAATAAGAAGATCCTCTATACTGAATGTGGACTTTCAAAGTTTTAAAAAATACTTCCAAGGTGAGCCTGAATCAAAGAACTAACATACCCAAAAGCTGCTTCTTGAGATTTAAAGGTGAGCCTAATGTGCTTATCAACATTTTAAGATTTTTGCTAAACCAAAGGTTAAAAGTGCATAGAGACAGCAGAAGCCTCCACGTTAACAAGAATTACCACTTGTCATCTAAAGAGGGCATCAACTGCAGCTGCTGCCGGACCAAGAAAATGATCATGTCTCTTACAAACAGACCAATTCTGAGATTCACATGAGGAACACTCCAGATTCAGGAGCAGTCACCAAAGTTTATCACAATAAGCACTGGTGCAAATGGAAAAAAAGCAAGGAGGCTTTTCACTTCTCTTTTTAACAAAACAATATCCCTTGTACGAATATACTGAAGTAATTTCTTAACTGAGGTACTCATCTAAACACAAAGTTAATTCCTACATGTCAAAAAAATATGACAAAGTAGAAAAAAATAAAAAAATTTTAAAAAGACCTGTGGCTGAAAATTCAAGTTACAGGACTTAAAACTGAAACTAGAGCTGGACATGAATGCTCACATGAAAATAGATAAAGTACTAAAAAAATGGTCTTTGTGAACAGTATAGTGTGCGCATACTCACATAACCACATGCACAAGGCCATGCAAGCACATGCACACATTAACAAATTCCTCTCTAGGCAAGGCGAAGACAATCATTTTTGTGAACAAATCAAATAAAATTCTTCATAAATAATCTACCTAAAGGAAATTTTCTTTGGTTTAAAAAGTAATTATAGCCAGGCGCAGTGGTGCATGCCTGTGATTACAGTGATTCAGGAGGCACAGGCAGGAGGATCCGAAGTTCAAGCACACCCTTGGCAACTTTGTGAGACCCTGTCTCAACATAAAAAATAAAAGGGGCTGGGAATGTAACTCAGGGTAAAGCACCCCTGAGTTCAATCCCTAGTACCATTTAAAAAAAATAAAATTAAAAATTAATAGTAAGGACAAAAGGCAAAAACAAAATACATATTTTTTGTGTTGGTTTTAAGAAGAATTGTGTTCTCAGTTTATCACTATGTTAGTTAATAAAAGATTCAATTCAAGATGTCAATAATATTTATATGTTAAACACAACATGTAAAGCTATGAACAGAAAAAAAGGACTAGAAATAGAAACATTAAAATCATAAATATAGTTGTTTTTACTGTTGCCAAGTATTTTCTCTGTTCTAAAATTTCTGTGATGCTATATTTCTTTCATTAGAAAACATTGAAGATCAACAAAAACTTTTAAAGTGAGATTTTTGGAAGTATGTGGCATAATTTTTAGCATATGCACATAAAGAATCATGATTAATGAAATCATAAATTAAACAACATCTGTAATAGCAAAAAATTAGAAGCAACCTAAAAGTCTCCTTTCCTAGGACACTGGACACCTCAGTTGTGATATATTCATACAATGGAATACTTTAGAAAAACAAAAGATGAAGTAAATATTCATGTGTCAACAAGGACCAATTTCATGAACCAATGTGAAGCCAAATAAAATTCGGTGCAACAGGATACACAAATTAAGACAACTTTATATAAAGCATGGAAGACAATACTGCATATTATTTGAAATGATACATGCATAAGCAGTAAAGTTAACTAAGCAGTACATAGCAACTATAATCTTACATTCATAACAGAAGCCACCCCAATGGGGTAGAAGGTGGGTGAGAACAAGGAAGAAATGTTCATTCCACTCCTCTCCATGTCTCCTAGTAAAACACCACTTTCAATCTCTGTTGCATATACTTCTGTGTCTCCTCTGAGGGAACGTCTGAGGGACACAGCCCCTCACCCTGCTAAAATCCTTTCCAGGTACCCTCCCGTACCCCCAMTACCCAGCAGGAGAACCTAATCACACTCCAGAATATAGTGAGATCAGTAAACTGTTCCTGCAACACTCCCCTGTTCTGTACATGCTACCCCCACAAGAGGCGATCCTTGACTTCCTTCCTAAGAGGGCCTCACTTCCTCTACCTTTGTCCTGCTTTTTATTTTCTTCTTGAAAGCCATGGCTACCCATCCAGCATTATGAATYTGCTTGTAGACTGTCTTCTCCCCCAGAACGCTTATTCTGTTAGGATGGGATTTTGTCTGTCTTGTTCATTGTTGTACCACATTACTTAGACTAGTGCTAGACACAAAGGTGCATATTACTGGCTCTTCAAAAGAAGTGTGCATTTATTCTACACATTAACCTACCTTTTAAAATTTACCCTACTATACATACCTTTGAAGTTATTAAATACCTTTCCTAAACATTTTTAAAGCTAGACTTTATTCCAATATGTGAGTAGGATATAGCACAGTTCAATCAATTCAGTCATTTGACTTCTTACATAATTTTTTCATCAAAAATAACAATGGATTATTCTCTTTGTTAATCAATCATTATTTCTATAGGATAAATTCCTCAAATAAAACTGTTGAATCAATTCTCCAAGTGTTTGATAAATATATTAACAACCATTCATCCAATGGGTGTGCAGACATATTGACCCTGACAATGGATGAGAGCCACTGTATTACATTTTTACCCATGTTCAGCACCTGTGTCTCTTTCAATCTCACTAATTTAATAAGTAAAAAACATAGTCATTCATCCAGGGATTTTGTATTTATACTCCATATGAAGTTACTTTCATTCCTCAAATTCACCCCATTCTTAAGGGTATATGAATGGGGAGTCACAAAGTACGTCTCAGCAAAAATCTAATGGCACACACTGGACCTGTCCTGTGACAGCAGCTCTCCTGATTCACTGGGAAGAGTCTCTAGTGGAGAGACTACACAAGACAGCACAGATGAGCACAGGAACCAGTACACCTCTCCAACTCTGAAGACCACACTGAGCTCTGTGCTCCTCTTTCACCAAGGAATCACTTTCCCTGCTGTTCCTGCCCAAAATGGGGCAACCAAAAAGTAAGCAGAACAATTTTCTATTGTCTTTACTATCAACAAATAGCATAAAACTACCAAGAAAGAATATGCTAGAGCTGGGCATGTGGCTCAGTGGTAGAGTGCTTACCTATCATGCTGAAGCCCTGGCTTTGACCCTGGCACCAAAAGATAAAATAGAAGGAAAAAATAGGAAAGAAAAGAAGTATAAAAGAATATATTTGAAATAATGCCAAGAGTCATCAACCTTTCAGAACACTTCATACACTGAGCTGTCAACCAGAAATTGTCTTACTGGAGTCTAATACTTCAGAACTTTCACCACTGGCTTCACATCAAGACGCTAACTCTCCAGATCCTACAACCTCAGTATCACCCAACAGTTCCATAGTAAAGGAAGGAGCAGRGACCAGGCAGACAGACCTACAAGCCTTTGAACAGGTGCAGAAAGCCCCAGAAAGGACACTCATAACTTCCCCAGCTACAGAGGTCTACAGACTCCTGCTGCTCTGCAGGCAGTGCTCTGACCTTACACTTCCTACAGGGCTAAAGGGGATTAATTCACAGAACTCAGTGAAATCCTTTAACAAGTGTTAAATGATACACAGCAACAACATTTTAACAATCATTAATTTATCTTTTAGCCATATGAACTCTTAAAATTGTATTCTAAACATCATTTTTAGATAATAATTAATAATTGAGCATAATTTTTTAAATTTTTTCTTTTACCAGAGGAGCCCAGTAGGTGTAGAGGTAGCCTATTTTCAATGCTGGTACAAACTGTGAGCAGGACACTACCAGAAAATAGAGATTCAAGAAAAACTTGAATTGTTCATACAAAACCTGAAAAGGAAAAGAGAAAATTAACACAATCCCTTCAAGGAAAAATTTTAATACCTCCAATATATAATTAAATTCRGCACAATATATAACCACATTTCTGTTTGAAATTGGCTTTCTAAAGCTTTCCCATATATAAAGGTTACCCCACATAACATTTGAGATAAACTGAGGGGAAACAACAATTAGGACTCTAAACTATATTAAAAGTATCCTTCCCTAAGAGGCTTTATTTTTTTAATGAAATTTTTAGTTTTCCAAAAATCTATAATTTTTACATGCACATCCAAGAAAATGACACCAAAACTTTCCCAATGCTAGCAAGTCAGTAAATACAAAAATGTATATCTAGATACCAACTCAGAAACTCTAAAGATGCGAAAGTCGTACTAACTTCATGTTTAAAAACTGGAAAAAAAAAACAAATAAATGAAAAACAAAAAATACAACAGCCATGCTTTGTAACATGAACTGGGCTTTACGAAGCCAGATGTGCACAACTGTGACTGCATGAGATGATCTCCTGCATGTGTTTTCTCAAAACATGTAAAATGATCAACACAGARTAGTAAATAACAGACCAATTTTCAGGAATATAGCTACTTGTATATTTTTTATAGTCTTTTGGTAGTTGGTCTTTAACACTATTTTCAAACATGAATTTCATCATTCAATAAAATTTTAGGAAAGCCAAAAGTGAAAATTTTTATATATTTTTTTTAATTCAAATGGAATTACCTATAAGGAAGAAAACTCAAGATCCAGTATATTGAGAGCTCTATTTACAAATGCCTCAAATTACTAGATTTGAATTAAAAATTAAATAGAACAATCCTTATATTTATAGATAGGAACAATTCAAATGGCACACAATTACAATCATACTGGCAAACTTGCCGTCTATGATTCAAAACCTCCTGGGAAGCAATTTATATTACATAATATAAAATGAAATTACTGCATCATCATATAGTTTCATGTGTGACTGAAAAATCAGTTACACCAGTAACACACTTATATTCATAACCATGTTCAACTACTATCTAGAAATGTTTTGAACTATTTCATAAACTAATCTCAGCAGGAAGGAAAGCTCTCTTTTTCCTCAGCAATATCTTTAAAATCTCAGCATAAATTATATCTATTAGCAATTCAGAAATTGCCATTTATGCTAAAAATGGCATAGAATTCCTACTGTGTAATTACCAAATGTTTCTAAAATACTACATTTTAGATGAAAAGATCATTTCAGAGACAATTTAAGAAAAAAATCACCCACACAGTTAAGGACTGTATAGACACATCAACAGGTGTTCTCAAGATGCTGCCACTCTAGGCAGGTTGTATGAATTTACAATGACCAAAGTGAAGCTTGCATTATTTGTTTCAGACCACTGTACTCAATACTTGACTATTCACTGAATAAGTCTGGTGACTGTTAAGAAAATGTACACTGCTTAGCTAACAGTGTTATTTAATAACTTAAACCTAAGGAGAAAACAGTGCTTCATTCAATAAAGTTGAAAATATTTGCCCCAAAGACAGTTTACATTTTATTGTCCTGACAAAAGATCAGTCTTCTAATTATGGGGCCATTAGTTTTGTGTGTTTTAATAAAAAAGCACATTAGATATCAAACTCTTGCCAACAAATGAATGGGTGGGGATTGAGGGAGGGGAATAATCAATGCCCAATACAAAATCAGAATGATCATTAAAATACAAATATACAAGAAAAAGCAACTTTCAATTGATGTAATCAAGAGCTTTTCTTGATAAATAGAATAATAGCCCTTAGCTAGAACATGCCAAAGTTTTGATATAGAAATATAATCAGATATATGATGACAAACTACTTTCCCCAATAAATCATGCTGGTCTAACTTCTAAGAATCAAGGACTAAAAAGAAAATAAAATCCTGTAATTAAAAAAAAAGAAAAAGAAAACCAACACCAGTCGTCTTTGCCTTCAGAAAGATAAGTAAATCTGTCAAAAAAAATTATTCCACTATTCTAGACTCACATAAACTTGGTTTTAAAATTTAATTTAGAAGTATTACTAATAACCAAGCAGCAGAAAAATAAATTTTAGTATTTAAATTTAGCATAGTACCTAATTAAAGATTTAGCAGTAGGTCTAAGGTTTATAATGTAAAGTAGCAAAGACATCTATATACACTTACATATTGTTACAGTGTCATTTTTGTGAAAGCAAAATTGTTTTACTTTCTTTTTGAAATTTCTTGACAAGCTTAGAAATTATATTCAACTTTTCCCTTCAAATTCCCACCCCCAAAAAACTTTACAACTTATTTTTTGATCATTTTACTTAGCATTTTTTCATTATTTCTATACTACAATTGTTTCTATAATTATATAAATGATGTTTATCAAGAACTGAAGTTAATAATCAAGTTGAAAAATTTCTTGTTGATTAAAAATGCAAATGATTTGGCAATCATTGAAACTGAACAGTATAAGACCAGGAGGTGCTGCGTTGGGCCTGACAGTGAAACACAGAGGGGTCTCTGAAAGGCATTGGAAACCAGCAAGCTCTGACCTATGACCCTCGTGCAGGAGTGTCTTACCCCAGGTATAAAGGTAAAGACATTGTATTTTTGATTTTTTATTGAATTCCTGGGATGCTTTTCTTCACTCTTCTCAGGACATCCAAGCCATACTGTTCGAGCTTTTAGTTCTTTCTTTCGATGACAAATATTTATCAGCCAATCACAGCAACTGCATGAAACAAACAAACAAAAAATACATATTACATATGCTTTTTGTAAAACATTTAAACTAATTCTGCATATTGAAAGACAATACTGACTTTTCTGTATTTACCAGACACTAATAGCATTATCTAATGCTAATCTGGGGTTTTTTCTTAGAACAGGTCAATTATACAAATTTAAAATGTCACAACAAAATACTTAAAGAGTCTCCTATTAACTTGCAATGGCTTCTAGAACCCAGAGCAAAGTCTCCTATAAATGTGTAATGGCTTCTAGAATCCAGCAATTATCACCCCTATTAGACACTCTTAGTGGCAAAACAACATCTTTAATATTCTACAGCAGWCAATGCTCCATATGTTGAAAAAACATATTGCTATAGGTATGGTAATTCTTAAGATACCACTTGAGTGATTCAATGATAAAGGTACATAGATATCAATTAATCCAGGACGTAGCTTTGTCTCTTCTCTGAAGAATCATTTTTTTCCATTTTTTTACAAAATGACTACTCCAGTAGCATTAACTAAAGACTTATGGTTTAAATCAACACAACATTTAAAAAGATACCAAAGTTGAATGTGATGTTCTCATGATAATAAAAGCTTAGTTGTTTTCCACATGCCTATCTTCATCCATGCCCTGTTCCAACACAGCCAGGGTCCTGGGAGGACCAACTCTTCCTCTTCTGGTCATCCCAACCATTGTTTTCAGAGAGAAAATACAAATTGTCCAATGGGATAACTTTTCTTAAAATACCTCAGAAAATGAAGAAAAGGTATCCAATTCATCTCTATTGAACACAAAATAATCATGAATTTAAGATTCAGTATCAAAAATTTGGGTTAATTTGACTATTCAAAATGTAGAAACACTCAGAACAGTTCACTCAGGGAAGTTGTTGGATCTCATCTTCTGAAAGCATTCAAGGTTAGAATTGCAAGTCAGCTGTGTACATCAGAAAGTGTTAACTTCACTTATGACAAAGTAAGCTTTAAATTTAACAASGAATTTTGTATGAAAATAACATAGAAGGCATGATCATACAACAGAGCTGACACATCATAATTCATCTCAGAATTGCTATGTCTCCAATGTTGGTGTTATCCGTTCCATCCAATCACACTGACTTTATTCTTCAGAAATTACTACAAACATTAAAAATTCAGATGCACTACTTCATAAATATTTCTTTATGGGAAGGTGCCTTGGGGGAGTATAAACTAAAATCAGCATCATCCCTATTGACTATCCGCCGAATTATTTTTTGGGGGGTGGATTATTGGGGATTGAAYTCAGGGGCACTTCACCACTGAGCCACATCTCCAGCTCTATTTTGTATTTTATTTAAAGACAGGGTCTCACTGAGTTGTTTAGCGCCTGGCTTTTACTGAGGCTAGCTTTGAACTCATGATCCCCTCTCAGCTCCCGAGCCACTGGGATTACAGGTGTGCACCACCACACCCGGATAATTTTTGGCTTTGCTCATATCTTCACTCTAGAAGGGCAGAGCATGATACACAATGTTTCTGCAGGATTGCCCACATTACYGCCTTGAGAAACTTCTCCTTAATGAGGCTGATGGAATGCCAATGAAGAGCCCTACCTAGTGCCCCTCAATTCACAGGAGCAAAGATCCGCCTCTGGTAGAATGGAAATCTTCTACTACTGTGCAGCATCACTTTTTAAACAACAAACCTAACATCTCCAAATCAAAAGCATGCTTTCAAGTCCCCAACAGTTATAAATCAGAGTATTATTCAAGTTATTTAAAACTAAGTACTTCCACCATTACTGCTATTGTTGGCAGAAAAAAAGGAGATGCATCGAGTAGATTTCAACTGAATTTTGACAATATTTCATCTTATTTTGATTGAACAAAACAAAAATAAGGCTACAAGTAGAACACCATAAGATTCAAATGATTATTTCTTCCCTACCACTGCTTTTATTGTGCGGCCCCATCCCCACCCCAGGCCTTTTCCCCTCATGCACCCCCCTATTTTACTGTCCCCTAGCAGATTGTAGCCTGCTCCCTGTACTTCCCAACCTAAGTCCCCACCCTCAGGGCTCAGTGCTCATGGACACTTCCTGCCTAGAGCTCCCTAACAGCCGCTCAAGCTCTAAACTGCTTTCAACATGTACTCCTAGTGTTATGAAAATCCTACAGTGATGATACACAAGCTAAGACAGATTCCTTCTTAAACTTCAGACCTGATCTTCCTTTTAGTCACCTGCAACTGTGCTGTACAGATGCCAAACTCCTACATTTGACACATGAGGAACTCTAGGTCAGACAGGGAAATGACTTTCCTAAGATGTTAATGGCAGAGCTGAAAGCTGAATGAAGCCTGGATCTCAACCCCACATCAACATGATGTGCATCCTGCATATAAACGAGTCAGCAGCCAATGCTTGCTTATGTTTCCAGAGTGCCCCAATCTAGCTAGAGGCACAACACTCAGATGGTGAAAACTAACAAATAATGAGAAGAAATGGGAACTCCATGGAAAAGTCCCACACCCCATGCAAAGTCACCATTTCAGAACACCAAATTCTGCAGAGAATTTAGACCCACACCAGCCAACAGCTGCTGGCCACATGTGGCCACGTTATGGTTTGGATGTAAGGTATCTCCCAAAAGCTCACATGTAAGTCWGAGTGGTAACTGAAGGTGGGTAGGGTGTGGTTGGAGGAGGTGGGCATTGGGGGCATGACTCTGGGGTATCTATGTGTATTTGGCAAGTGGAGTGTGTCTGTCTGTCTCTCTCTCTCTCTCTCTCTCTCTCTCTCTCTCCTTCCTGATCATCATGTGAGCCACTTCCCCCCACCATATTCTTCCACCATGTTGTTCCTGCCTCACCTGGAACCCTGAAGAATGAAGCTGGTTTGCCTATGGACGGAGACCACTGAAACTGTGGGCCCTCAAATAAACTGTTCCTCCTCTACAATTATTCTGGATGGGTCTGTAAGTCACAGCAGCAAAAAAGCTGACTAAAACAGAAATGTGGTACTGAGAATACGAGTCATTCCTGTGACTAACCTGACCATGTGGTTCAGAAGCATTTGGAGCTTTTTGGAAGTGGTGAGAGRAATTTCCAGATGTTTAGCAATGCAAGCTGGAAACGCTTTAGGTTGTTGTAAATGGAGCTTAATGGCTGATTCTGGAGGGAGCTCAGAAGACCAAAATGTCAATAGTACCATATGGTGAAGACAGGACTCAATAGAGTTTAGAGGAAAAGGAGGACACTATCAGTAAGTGGATTAGAGGCCATTTGTATTATGTTCTGGTGGAGAAGTTATCTGTTTCTAGACAGCAGAGCATTCAGGTGGTGGCATGGATACTGCTGGCCACTTTTAGCCCAATTTATTGTAATAATCAGGAGCAGAAAGCAGAGCAGAAAGCGACTTGAAAATGGGGGTCTTAGAAAGTTGCAGTTGTTAAAGACATTAATGCCACTAAAGAAATGCCAAAGACTTTGCCCAGAGACTATAAGAGGGTATCTCAGGAATTGGCAAGATCATATTCATYCCAGACTCAAGGAATTAAAAGTAAAAATTCTCTTGAGAAGAGCCCAGTTGAAAGCCTTCTTACACAAGGGGGCCTAGGAAGTTTTTCAACACATTCAGCCCCTCAGGCACTCAGAGGCTGTTGCATCCAGGGTCCCTGGAGGCCTGGCTACTACTTAAGATGGCAGCAGACCTGGGTGTCAACCATGTGGTGCTGATTCTGCAGGATTGCAGGATGGTAGAGAGAGGGCGTCATGGAGGCTTCCACTGAGATTTCAAAGGAAGGCCTAAGAAGCCAGGCAGAGTGCCCCAGGGTTGGAGTCCCTGTGCACAGCCCCAGAGAGGGCAAAGCATGGAGATGTGAGGAGGAAGCCAAAGCTGCAGTAAAGATCCCTGAGATTAAGAAATGCCAATAACATGGGACATCATCCTAGAAAAACTGTAAGAATCAAACAGAAACAAGCCAACACAAAGTCCACTTGAGCTGTAACAAACAACGCCCCAAGGGTGGAGCTACATAAACCCTTTGAATAGAACATTACCACACCTTGTGCCCCAGATACTGGAAACAGAACTGCAGGACTTATTTGCCCAGCTAGATTTCAGTCTCTGCTTGGGTCCCATTCCTTCTTTCCATGCCCCCATTTTTGTGATGGAAATGTTTACTCTGTACCTTTATATATTGAACACTTGCAAATCACTTTTCTTTACAGGAACTCATGATGCAAGCTTGCCCTGAGACTCAGAGTAGACTTTGGACTTGAATTTTTGGGCAATCTTAGAACTGTTGAGACTATGGGGACTCCTGGAAATAGACAGAATGTATTTTGCATTGTAAGATGCCCTTGCATTGTAAGGGCAAAATGTTATAGTCCGGATGTGAGGTGTCCCCCAAAACCTCACGTGTGAGACAATGCAACATGGTTCAAAGGAGAAATGATTAGGTTGTAAGAGTCCTTTTTTTCTTTTCTTTTTTTAATTGATTTTTTTAAAAAAAGGTTGTATGAGACTTAACCCAATCAGTGAATTAATCCCGTGACAGGGATTACTAACTGGTAATTGATGGTGGATAGGGTGTGGTTGGAGGAGGTGGGCATTGAGGACATGGCTTTGGGGTATATATTTGTATTTGGCAAATGGAGGTGTCTCTCTGCTTCATGATCTTGTGAGCTGCTTCCCTCTTCCATACTCTTCCACCATGATATTCACCTCACCTCAAGCCCCAAGGAATGGAGCCAGAAAGGAAAGAGGGGTGATTTTGAGTACATAAACACCAAACACTGAAAAAAAAAAAAAAAAAGAAAGAAACCTGTACAACAAAAAAGTAGAGCAAAAAGTACTGAGACCTCTGAAACCAAGAGCCCCCAAATACTCTGTTCCTCCTCCACATCTCAGCAGCTCAACAGCCACATTGGCTAATGGTTACCATGGGACACCAGAGATCTAAATATTCCTATCATAATAGTAAGAACTACTAAACAGCACTGGTACATG